ATTTCTTCCTTGATACCAGTTGAAGTTGAACAGGATCCCATCGACCTCTCTTAGCAATCCAGACTCGCAATTACACCAGAGACCTNACTGGTCTCCTCCAATATTTTATACAAAAAGTTGCTAGACTAGGGCTCATGAAGTAATTAGACGGGCTAAAGCTCAAACTTCATCCAAAACAAGACTTTCAATAGCTTCCAAAAAGGTTAACTTACTTGTACGAAATCCTGATTTTCCAAGGGACCACCTTGATTGATGTTGAACTCCATGAAAGCTACGAAACCTGGTTGAGCGCTACAAATCGCTGTCAATCGTAGGCAGTCTGTCTGCGGATCATTAGCTTCCGCTCTGAAAACACCTTTTAATAGGTACGTTGTCAGATTCTTCTATAAAAGGGTCTATTAGAGGTGAGAGGAGCCGAGAGCAGAGCAGGAAATTAGACCAGAGAGTTCAAGAATCGAGAAGAAGAGTTATCAAACGTAGGCGATTTGAAGTGGAAACTGTCACACTGAACCAATGGCTCACCGGAAATCAGCATCGATTGATCCAGGATCACCATTTGCGGCATCGAACGATACTTGATCTACCGTACAAGTTTGGCAGGCAACTAAAAGTACATTAGAATGGAAGTACAAAGGTAAAAGAGCTCTAAGGAAATCAACTTACGCGGCGTAACAGGTGCTACTGTCGTGGTAGTGGTTCGTGCTGTAGTAGTAGCAGAAGAAGTGGTTCTCACTGTTCTTGGGGTGGTAGTTCTTACTGGGCTAAGAGTTGTTGGATTTGCACCAGGTGATGTCGCAACACAACCGAGAGCCACCGGTATGGTACTCCATACCAAAATCAGTATCGCAGGCAGTTGAGGCATCTGGAAAACAGCTTAGCTTGTTACTATCGAGCTATAGACCTTACCAGCGAAGATCGCACCAAATAATTCATTAAGACGCAGTTAGTCTGGTAAGGTAAGCGGTCCTTCCAAAGAAGCTTACAGCCGTTAACATTCCTTACAGCCGAGCCACACCAGCACTTTCTTCGGGTATAAAAGGATCTTCGTTTGAAGCTTACATAGGCCGGGATAAATTGGTAGGAGACAAGGATCGTTGATGGTGTACGTCTGATCAAAGGATCAAATGCAGGATCGAACATCTTCTAAGCCTACCAGGCATCCCATCCCTCTCGTACCATCAATCATTATTGCACTTGTCTAACAAGAAGAGACCGATTTCTTGTACTCCAGCAGGCTTGAGCCGGAGATAGGGTGTTACCAAGTTGGTCGGGATCGTCTAGGCCCACTAGTCCGTGCATCCCACCGAGCTCAGTTGAATGACACAAGAGTTGCCCTGGATTTGCAAGAGGACTGGTTCAGTTTGCCTCAGCAGTCACTTAGTAGGTCTGTGAGTTGTCAGTTGTCTTAGCGATATTGAAAGGAAAAGGATGCATGGCGGATCTCGGAGAATACTAGTTAGCTTCAAGTACTCTACTGGTCTTTCAAACAGTGTAACCTCTACCCACGAGTGAACGAGAAAAACGATTTGGCCAAGGGATTGATTACTCAGAAGATGAGTTTTTGAAAAGCAAGCTTCGTATTTTGTGATCAAATGGTGTGGCACATGTGGATGGTCGTATCAGCCTTGAGCCATGACTCAAGACAGAAATTCCAACAAGAATATGGCAAGATTAAAATGAAGGGTTCAGATGATTCACCGTAAAGAGCAGTTTGGATATCTGGTTGAATCAAATCAAGCAGTCACGAGAATCACTCGCTTTCTTCCCGATCAGGTTCCCATTTTCACCTCGATCATCAAGAGTAGTTCCACTTAGCGGAACGCACTTAGGGATCTTCTCGAACACTTGATCATTCCAATCTACGATCTTTGTCCTAAGAAGATGTAGCAGGTTTCTTCTTCCGTCGAACTTCTGAACTTCAGAGTAGGGAGGTCGCATAATCCCTTATTAACACTACCATCATCTGAACGTTAATGTTATTTGTCAAAAAATAAAGAAACGAAACTTACTTTCTTCTCACCTTCACTCAATCCCACAAAACAATCCCATATTGATCTAATTATGAAGCGAAAATACGTGGTATCGAGGCCCCTTCCGCACGAAACTCTCAATAGTCCTAAGTTGCCGCTTTACCACACGCACGATGCCGAGATCGGCCCCCCGTCTGTCACTCGCCTAGTTCAACCGAGCCTTTCAGCCCCCAAAGTCGATCATCTGGTAACAGATGTATCTGGGAAGCAAGCTGAGACTGACAGACTTGTACATCTGTACGGCTGACTCCGTATGTCCTTGTATAAGCTATACATGCTTCCAAAGAGCCACTACGATTCTGAACGGAAGTCGAATGAGGCACGAAGCTGGAAACGTCAAGAGACTACCCTTCGGAGCATGCAGGCAGTACATACGCATTATTCCTGATAACAAACGAAGATACAGATTTTATTGAAGTGGTGGAGCGGCTTTTACTTTCATTTCCTTACTAATTTCTTCCTTGATACCAGTTGAAGTTGAACAGGATCCGCTCTTAGCAATCCAGACTCGCAATTACACCAGAGACCTTCGGGACTCTACGCCACTCGACCCAGCGCTCTTGACTTTGCTACATCCACTACATGTCACCTTGATAGGCAACAGGCTGAACAAATTTCGGTAAGTGTCAAATAAATAAACAAATAAACAATGATCACAATGAACAGGCAAACTTTCAATGAACTTACTCTCCGGGATTTGGCGAGAATTCTGAAAAATTCTACCTCATCTAGGTGTTTCCTATGAATAAAAATCAAAATAGTACATTTGGTACGTCATAAGGTTTATTTGCTCAGCAATATTTACAACAACATAATAAGAAACCCGCATTAATGAAGGACAAACCCAATATGCAAAGAGATCTGTAACGTTTACAACAATAAACAAAACTGAGCTTTTAAGGGGAGGAGCTCTGAACTTTCCGGAGATCAGTCCACCAGGACTATGCTTTGACACGATGCGGCTGCGGTTGTGATGGCATCGGACGGAAATGCGGATGGCTTGGCGGTGTCGACTGTGGCTGGGATGATGGTGGTGGAGCTGGACGTACTAAAGACGCTGTACTCACTCGGTATAACGGATGGGGCTCCAACTCTTGGCGCATCATTGCTACCAGTATCATATCGGTGTTGTAGACAGCTGAAACCAGTCAATATTTCGAGATTCCGCAACTGAATTCATCTAGTCCGTGGAGAGTGACAGAAGGAGGCAAGGGCAGGAATTGATCGTGAAAAAACTCTCATTTGAATCTGAGCTGTCTCAGAATCTTTTACAATGAGAAACTATTTCGGGACACTCCAGTTTCGGAAAACTCAACAAGTAAGCCAGAATGTTTGTGAAGCTAAAGGGAAATCAGTATAACTCACGAAA